TGTAATAAAATATATTTGAGAGACAGATGTGTGTGAAAAAAAAGTGTAAGGTGGGAAGTGATCAGTGGAGATGCCAGTATTGACCTCTGACCTCCACACACATGTGCACACAAGTAAACCCACACTGGAAAGCACCCACATGGACCTCTCTCACATACACAGAAACACATGAAAGAATGCAGCTTCTCTCTCCCAGTGGCTCAGCAGCCCAGAGCCCATGGAACACACCACAGAGTCAGAGTTTCCTGCCTTGTGCCTATCTGCCTCCAGTGCATAGCCCAGGCAGCAAGTGCTGAGCACACCTGCCCTTTCTATCCAGCTTTTTGTTTTGGAGTTGGGTCTTGCTGTATGGCCCAGGCTGACCTCGAACTCCTGGACTCAAGCAAGTCTACCTCCCAAGGAACTGAGATCACAGATGTGTGCCACTCTGCCTGCAGCTTTTACAGACAATTATTTTTTTTAATATTTTTATTTTGTATGTATTAGTGTATTGCCTGCATGTATGTAAGTACACCCATGTCATGCAATGCTAGCATAGGTTAGGAGAGGGATTGAATTCCCTTGGAACTGGAGCTACAGACAGTTGTTAGCTGCCATGTAGGTGCTGGGAACTGAACCCGGGTCCTCTGCAAGAACAGCCGGTGCCATCTGTCCAGCCCCTATTTATTTATTTTTTAACAGAGAATAGGGTAGGGGTTTATTTACAAAAGAGTGGGCGCCCCACATTTATGGCTGCATTGTAAAGTCCACACTCAAATACAGATCCTGTGACCTCCAAACAGCTGCCCAAAATGGTGAAAGAGGTGCCTCTTGGTGTTCTTGGCTTATATATCCTTTGCCCTTCCCCCCACATGCAGCTAGGTGGGAGGTGTAACTGACTCCTCCCCTCAACTCCTTGATGAGCATAGGAAGGGAAGGTGGTGTAACTATAGCTTGCCAGCATAGTGATCAGAGGACATTTCCAGTTAACACTCCACCCCTTCCTCCAGCCCTTACATTCTTTCTACCAACCTCTTCTGCAAAAGTCTGTGAGCCTTGGAGGGGTTTGTAGGTGTGGGGTGATCTTCCTCCTGTTGTGGCAAGGCACTGGACTTTTGGGTCTCTTCATCATCTGTTTTCTGTGGACTGTTGACCAGTTTCAGTGGGATTCCATCTACTATAAAAAACACATAGAGCAAGAAGCAAGAACATCTAAACAGTGACTGCTATAGTAACTTACCCTATGGAGGTAAACACAAATGCTTTAGCAGGTGCATCATTTCCATCTAACAAAGCAATTGCAGTGACTTCCCACTGGGGCCTGATTCTCCCCTGCCACAGCCAGGTCTACAGTACCAGATGTGTGTTCCACCCCCAGGAGCATCCATTATATCCAAGAGGGCATTGAATTGGATCCCCTAGAACTGGAGTTCCAGGCAGTTGTGAGCTACCATGTAGGTGCTGGGAACTGAAACTGTCCTGCAAGAGCAGCCAGTACACTAAACTGCTGAGCAGCTCCAGCCCCTCACACATAAGATTTTATTCTGTTTATTTGCTTTTCTTTCTATTTGTTTTATGGCTAACTTATCCCTATACCTTAAGTGTGGGGGTTTTGTTTCTTTCTTTGTTTAGTCTTTTTGAGACAGGGTCTCCCTGTAGCCCCAGCTGTCCTGGAACTCACTATGTAGACTAGGCTGGTCTTGAACTCAGAGAGATCCGCCCCTCAGCCTCCCAAGTGCTGGGATTAAAGGCGTGTGCCACCATGCCTGGCTAAGTGTGGGGTTTTTAAAAAAATATTTATTATTTTATGTGTATGCGTATATGTATTGCCTGCATGCAGGTAAGTGCAGCTGTGTCATGCAATGCCCTCGGAGGACGAACGAGGCTGTTGGATCCCCTGGAACTGGAGTTATGGACAGATGTTAGCGGCCATGTGGGTGCTGGGATTCGAACCTGGGTCTTCTGCAAGAACAGCCAGTGTTCTTAACCGCTGAGTCATCTCTCCAGCTCCTAAGTGTGGGTTTTTTAAAAACATTTATTTATGTGTGTGTGTGTTTATGTGTGCATATGTGCCACAGTACACATAAGGAGGTCAGAAGACAATTTGTGGGAGTTGGTTCTCTCCTCCCACCATGTGGGTTCCAGGGATGGAACTCAGGTCATCAGGCTTGGCAGCACGTGCCTTTACAAGCGGAGCCATCTTATTGGCCCCATCCTGTCCTTTCTCAGTGAGGTCTCTAGGTGGCAGGGAGCCATGTGAGGTTTAATGTAGGCTTAGTTCTTGGGTGTGGCCCCACATCTTGGTGCTTTGCCCACTGGGCCACGTTCAATAGTCTAAGTCTGTTAGGTTCTATCTCCCTCTCTTTACTCTCAGGGTCCTTAGTGGGTTAGCTCTCCTTTGGGTCACTGGCCCTATGTCCTTCTACACTGTTTGGCCTGGGCATAGCCACCCACTCTGCTACTGGCCTACGTATTTAAGGTGCACATTCAAATACTGGCTAGCTTTGGGAATATGTGTACCCTCAATGGCCTGAACTGTTTCAGTGTTCTTAACCATGAGCAAGAGGCCTTGAATTGCTCATTTGCCTAATTTTGAGGGGTTTTCTGGGTTAGAGAGTAAGGAACCTGTTAACACCGATCACCTGCTTATAGGAAGGGTTATTTATTTAGGGCCAGCAAATTGGCTCCGTGAGTAAATTCACTTGCTGCCAGGCCTAACAACCTGTATTCCATCCAGAACCCATATGGTGGAAGGAGAGAACCAACTCCCACAAGTTTTCCTCTGACCTCCACATGAGCACTGTTGCAGGTGCTGAACACTCCCCCCAATAAATAAATAATTGTAAAAAAAATAAGAGTTATGTATATTGAGACAGGGTCTCATTCTACAGCCCAGGCTGGCTTCAAACTTGGGGGATCCTCCTGCCTTAGCTTCCCCAGACCTGGAAAGACAGGTGTACACATCATGCCTGGTAGTCACACTTCAAATTATAACAGCAAAGTTACAGAGCCAGCCACATTTTAAGCACTTGGCATCCATATCAGTGGGAAAAGAGCAGCTCCAGCACTGGAAAGTTCTACTGGATGGCAGTATGCTGGGCTAGGTGGGGTGTCTTTCTCCTTAGGATGTGCCTCTAAGGCTGAAAGACTTATGTTTCCTTTACAGACTTGAAACCTCTATCTTTTAGTTGTTTTAGTTAAGCAGTGTTGAATGGCTGTTTTTAAACCTTTGGGTTTTTCTGTGGTGCTGAGGACTGAACACAGGGCCTAACATGTGTGGCCAGTGCTCCTCTACTGTTGAACCATTCCCCCAGCCCCTCACTAGGAGATTTAGGCATGATCTCTACCCCTAAACCATACCTCCACCCCTCACTGGGAAATTCTAGGCAGGGGCTCTACCCCTAAGCCACACCCTACCCCTCTCTGTAGGATCCTAGGCAGGGACTCTACCATGCCCCCATCCCTCATTGGGGGAGTCTAGGGAGGGCTCTACCTCTGAGCCATGCTCCCAGCCCCTCAGTGGGGGATTCTAGGCAGAGGCAGTACCAGTGAGCCACACTCCCATCCCTCACTGGGGAATTCTAGGCAGATGGGAAACAGCCGTGGCGTGGTCTCCTCAGGGCCAGGATGGAAACACACCTGGCATCTCTCAGAGCTAATTTTCACTCCTCCTGTTTCAGTGCTGTGAAGAACCTGGTGGATAGTAGTGTGTACTTCCGCAGTGTGGAAGGCCTGCTCAAACAGGCCATCAGCATCCGGGACCACATGAACGCCAGTGCCCAGGGTCACAGGTAGCCCAGACTGCCTGCCACATATCTTCCTGTGACCACCCTCATCAGCTCAGCCTGTCTCAGTGTCCTTTGGCATCTGTGGCACCTACATCATGTACCCAATCTGAGTGCAAGGAACACAGTGGTGCCCGAAGGGCAGACTCACAGGCAGTGTCTGAGGAGATGCAGAATGGACTTGCTGTGAAAGAAGCTTATTGTTGAAAGAAGGCAGCCTCATAGGAGGCAGGGTAGTGGGTCACGTAGGGGAGTTGGCAGGCTGTTTGACTTGGCCTCTCCACCCTGCCTATCTCCATGGTTCCTGCAGCTGAGGGAAGCTTTGAACCAAGACCCTGCAAAGTGAGAAGCACCTGCTGTGCTTGAGGAAGTTTTTTGTGTTGGTTGTAACTCAATAAACACACACCTGAACTGAGTCTGCCTTAGCCATTGACCTGGGATCCACCAACGCTGGCAGGTCCAGCATTTGCCTCCTACACTCACCCCCACCACACATTGAAAATGCCAGAAGTCTGCCAGGCTGGTGGCAGACACCTACCACCTCAGGCACCCCAGCCCTCAGGAAACAGATGCAGGAGTATGGTGAATTCCATGCTACTCTGGGCAACACAGTGAGACCCTGTCTCACACGCAAGGTAGCAGAAGCCACAGCTCCTGAAGCCATTTGCTTTACACGCCCTGCTGTCTCCAGAGTAGCAGCACCAGATACTATGAACCCCCTTGCCACCCCTCCTCTGTGATCCACCCGTCCCCCAAGGCAGGCAGTCTCTGATGTGGGTGCTAGTCTGGCTCATACAGTGGAAGCCCAGGGGTTTAGGCTATGTATGGGTCCTGGGGACCCAGGGTGTGACTCCAACCTGTTGCCACCTTGGCTGAACAGCTTTCTGACCTGTGGCCTCTGGCTTATGGGCTCTTTGTTTTGTTCCAGCCAGGAGAAGCTGTCCTCCCCCTCCTCAACCTGACCCTGACCCTGGAAGACTCTCAGGGCCTCCCCACCCAGGTCAGTGGGGAGGGTGTTGCTCTGGTAACTAACCTGCCCCTTGTCATCCTGCAGGAGCCTGCTGATTAACCCTTGGGATTCCTCGCTGGGCGCTTGGGATGGTTTCTGAGGGGTTGCTGGAGAGTACCTCTCTCTGGCCCTCTGCTGTTCCAGCCCCTTGTCATCTCTTCCTCAGGCCAAGCCCTGCTGCTTGTCTCCACCACCACCCAGCTGCTGTGTGACCTTGAGCCCCAGCTTCCCCTCTGTGCCGTCTTTTCCTAATATACATGTTGCTCATCAGGTGACTGAGGACATGTCAGTGACATGTCCATTTTGACAGCATGTCCATGCGAGAAACTGAGACCCTAACCCTAACCTCCAAACTGACCAGCCCCCTTATGTGTACTAGGGTTACAGGACTGACTTTGTTTTCTCTCCCAATTGAATGAAAAGGCAGGAAAGAAGTGTTACCAGAAATATTGGGGAGTCCCAGCAGAGCCAACATATATCCGAGAAATTGGGATCCCCTCTTAGGATTCTTAGTCTCATTAATGAAAGAATTTGAGAGTGGACACAAAATGGTAGCTCAGGGACAATTTATTGGCATTTAAAAGAAAAACCCCAGGGCAGGCAAGCTGGGAATCTTTCAGGAGAATGGAGAGAGTAATCCACTTAGATGTCAGGCAGCCACATAGGGATGGGAGGCCAGCTCTAGAATAGCAAGGAAGCCCAAAGCCTTAGGGAGTTTAAAAGCCCACTTAGGCTCTGACCAGCACCCCGAAAAAAAAATACACCTTTCTGAGAAAAGGGCAGACCCAGCTGAATCTCCTGGTGGCCCAGCTCACAGGGACCGCACTAGGGGGGTGGGAATCTGGGAAGAAAAGACATACCAAGGTGAACCCATCTTCCTAGGGGTGTCCCCCAGCCCCAGACCCTGATTAATCCTTAAGGGGGGAGACAAGGGCATGTCTCCATCTAGAGTGAGATTCCCTTTACATAGCAATACCATATCAGGTAGGCCTCAATGGAGAGCAGTGACCATCAGTGAGGCTAGCTATGGGCCATAAGGCCATCAGGTGGCCTTTGTGGGGTGCTGTGACCTGTAGGGGTCAGAGTCTTCTCAACACCTCTAGCAGAAGGATCATCTAGCCCCTGAGTACAGCCCACCAGTGGGTCCCACTAGATGCTGTGGTCCTCTGTGCTGCAGGGGCCCAAGGGCTTGGGTAGAGACTGTCCCAGAGCCAGAGTCCAGAGCCAGCAGAGTTCACTTCCTGAACAGCACAGTTACCGGGCACTGAGGTCAGCAAGCATTGATTGGGCTTGCTTGTTCAGTGAGTATTTCTTGAGCCCTTTTTGGATGCCAGGGTCAGCTGGCATTTACTCAGTGCCTTCAGCAAGCACCTGTTGAATGTTGGGTTGCTGGGTTTCTGAGCACTCGAAGCTGTCATTGAGCACTCACTGGCAGTCACCCCAGCCTCAGCTCAGCCATGGAGGATAAGCAGTTCCCTGATTGGGGTCCCCTGGGGCATCTGGGAAGGCCCGAGCTGAAAGGGCTCCCAGGTGTGTGCACCATCATCCTGTCAGCCCTGGGTGCTTTCCTGCCCCCACCTCACCTTCCATTCCCAGTCTACCCTAACCCTGAGCATGCTCAAGGACACCCCTGTGCCAGCACTGCTCCCTCCACTGCTGACCTTGTGGTATACACAGGGCTCCTAATCCCAGCTTCACTCCTATAGACCCCTTCACCTCTCTGGGATTGCCATTTTTCTGCTCCCTAAAGCTACTCCCTCAGGGTCACCAGAGACCCTGTCTTGGCCTCCTAGCCTCCATCTTCTGGGTCACCTGCCTGTTCAATCCCAAGACCCTCAATACAGTTAAGTTTTACAGAAGAGGGAACTGACTCCAAATGAGACAACCAGCCAGGCACCATCCCCGCCAGCAAGCTCAGAGATTCAAACCTGGCCTTCTGACTCACAGTTCCTCTGTCCCCAGTCTTGACAGAGCCGGGGGACTCCACCTCCAGAACTAAGCAGGGACTGAAGGCCAGCAAGGTGGCCTCTTGGTCAGCTGTGATCACCCCATGACAATGCTGGTGCATGCCCATCAGTACCAGAGGTCTTCTCCTTCCATCCTAGGGCCACGTGGCCTACATCATGTCACAGAGCTGAAGAGTAGACCCTGACCCTGTCTGACGTGCTGTGTGATGCAAAGCTGGCACTGGCCCCCCTCTATCTTTCCACAGTTGGACAGGGAAGCTGGGCAGGAACTTCCTTCTCTCTGAGTTTGTGGTGGACACATGTTCCTCCTCTTGGGAGCCACTGGCTTCATCTGGGCCAGGACTTAAGACTCTGACTTGGCTCCCTAGCCTCCATCTCTTTGAGTCACAGTGATCAATTTCTATGTGTGGACTGGACACAGCTTCATGCAAGGTATTTTCCTGGTTTGCACAGGGGCCCTGGATTCAATTTACCAATCACATTAAAAAATTAATTTTTCCCAGCACTCGGGAGGCAGAGGCAGGCAGATCTCTGTGAGTTCAAGGCCAGTGTGGTCTACATAATGAGTTCCAGAACAGCTGGGGCTACAGGGAGACCCTGTCTCAAAAAGACCAAAAAAAATTAATTTTTGCCAAAATTGTTAGGCTGTTTGGGCAGCTGACTACAAGAGAGCTGTGTCCTCTCTGTGCATTAGGAACCCAGGTGAACATCTGTCCATGAGGTACCCTCCAAATCCAGCTGTGTGCCAGCAGCCTGCCAGCCACAGCCCACTGTTCCAGTAAAGAAATGACACGGAACTGGGGAGACTGCTGTCAGTAAAGCAGTCACCTTGACAAGTGAGGACCTGATGTTCAATCCCAGAACCCATAGAAAAAAAGCCAGGCATTGGGGCCAGAGCTTGTAATACCAGGGATGGTGAGATGGGAAGCAAAGATAGGCCTGATCTTTCCTGGCCTAGTTGGTGAAGTTTCTAGTCAGTGAAACCCTGTCTTAATCAAGAAGGTGGAAGTTGGGCTGGAGGCACGGCTCAGTAAAGTGCTTGCTGCACAAACATGAAGACCTGAGTTCAAATCTCCAGCACCCAAATAAAAAGCCAGAATGGCAGTGGGCTCTGTAGACCCAGTGTGGAAGCTGCTCCAAACCAGGGAGATCCTTAAAGTGCATTGGTCAGCTTGCCTAGCAGAATGAATTAACTTCAGATTAAGAGAGAGACCCTGTATTCTGGCCTACATGGGCACTGCACAACATGGATGAATTTACATTGAAGCAAAACACTCCTACACACAAAATAAAAATAAAACCGAGTATGGTGACACAAACCTTTAATCCCAGCACTTGGGAGGCAGAGGCAGGTGGATCTCTGTGAGTTCAGGGCCAGCCTGGTCTACATAGTGAGTTCCAGGCCAGTTGGGGCTAGAGGAAGACCCTGTCTCCAAAAGACCAAAGAAAAAAAATCAAAAAGAAAATTGTCCTCCAACTTCCACATGCCATGTGCACACTAGCACAAAGTACATATCTGAATACCAACAACTAGAATTGCTGTCTGACTTCCACACAGCACACAAACACAGATGTGCACACACACACATAAACACACCACAAAAGATGTATCAGGCAGATCTGGCTTGTTGAGCCTAGGCATGTCCTTGGCCCACTGCTCTCCTAGGGCCCACAGCTTGTCATAGGACAGGGATGACTTGGAGAGAGGAGAGCCAGGGGTTCAGAGGGCCTGGGAGGGGAGTAGAGGGTATGGAGGAATGAAACTCATCAGCAGAAAACAGGCTGGTTCTCCCAGGGCATGCTGGGGGACTGTGGTGCGATGCCATCTTACCTCCCCAAAGTTCAGGCTCAGGAGCCCTGGTTTGTGGGCCAGTAATGCCCCCAGCTTGCTCAGGGTCACAAGTCACCTCTCTTGGTTGCTTGTTCTCCACATGGCCATTTACCCCTGTGTGAGCCAGAGGAGGCCCCAGTGAGCTAGACAGACCAGGCCAGCCAGGCAGGATGGCACATGACTCTTATCCCAGCATGCATGGGGTAGAGGTAAGAGGATCCCTAGACTACATAACATATTGTCTCAAAAACAAGGATGGAGGTGGAGACAGGTGGATCTCTGTCAGTTTTGAAGCCTGCCAGGGCTATGTCTCAGAAACAAAAAAAAAAAGAAGACAGGTTGGTCCTTCCCTGGGACTCAGCCACTGAGACAACTGTATGTCCTCAGGGCTGGGTGCTGCAAACTTATGAGGGGGGTACCCAAGACCCTACCAGGGCTCCTTGCCACCCTCAGGCCTGGTGTGACCTCAGCCAGCAGTCAGTGGTCTTCACCTGTGAGAATTCTCAGAGGACTCTGGTCAGTCCCACACCCCACTGCCTATTGCCCAGGCTTCACAGGGCCCTGGCTAATTTGCACCTCATTTGCACACCCTGCCCACCCTCAAGAGCAAAGCCTTGGCCTGGAGCCAAATGCACAGTCCTAGCTGGTCTTGGCTGGTCCCGGTGGGCACATGGTCCTGGGCCCTTTGAGAGTTAACTGAGCCTCCAGGGGACTGAATCACCCAGCAGGGCCTCACATCTGTTCCCACACCAACCAGACCTCACAGCCTCCCCTATCCACTTGCCCTAATCAGTAACATTTGTTCATAGAGACAGTGAGCTGCCTGTGCCATGGGGGCATCTAAGCAGGATCCTGGAACCCATCTGACTAGGAATGATCTGGAAGAAATAACCCTTATTTCTAAAAATATTATTATTTTTATGTGTATGAGTATATTGCCTGCATGTGTGTAAGTGTACCCGTGTTGTACAATATCCACAGGGGTCAGAAGGGGGTGCCAGATTCCCTGGAACTGGAGTTACAGTTGTTAGCCGCTGTATGGATTCTGAGAATCAAACCCAGGTCCTCTGCAAAAGCAGTCAGTGCTCTTAACCCCTGAGCCATTTCTCCAGCCCCGGAATGACCATTCTTGAAGTATGGGCCCCTCCAGGATTCTGCAGATCTATGTCAGCACGAAAAAGGAACCAAAGACTACAGTGGTCTGTGCTTATGGTTTTAACATATTTACACCTTTTTTTTTGGTTTTTTTTTTTTTTTTTTTGGTCTTTTTGAGACAGGGTCTCCCTATAGCTCCAGCTGTCCTAGAACTCACTATGTAGACCAGGCTGACCTTGAACTCACAGAGATCCGCCTGCCTCTGCCTCCCAAGTGCTGGGATTAAAGGCCTGTGCCACCACGCCCAGCAATTTATTTATTTTTAAGGGGAAACACATTCCTATCACCACATGAGGTCAGTGGACAACTCGAGG